TGACCACCCTCCTCGCCATTAATTTCCCACTGTAGTACTCCTTGCAGCACGAATGAGAGTAAAATACCAGGGAGGTATTTGCACTTGTGGCAACTTACTTGAATTTATCATCGTCTTCATCGTCTGCGAAACTTGTTAATAATTTAAATATCTTTCCCATCAGATAATAGTTATCTTATCGGAATTACATGGTACATCAAAAAAGCTAAATTATCAAACAGTAATCGAGATAATATTTTCGTGACTAGCTAGCTTCTTTTCCTTCCTCCCCTTCATAAAATTAAAATTATGATCTGGGTTTTAACGCAATTGAATTATACACTTATTTACAACGAATGGCCGAGGAGGATCAAGCAAGCTGTGCTGGTTAAATATGTAGAATCTTATTTACTGCAAAAAAAATCATTCGACATCTGTTACTCAATCATTTGCCACTCCATTTTTCCATCCACTATGCATTACCACCACTTGCTTGTTATTTGTTTCTGCCAATCCTCACAGTCGACGGAGCCATAACTCTTTTTAGCATTGTTCATTCATTCAACCATTGAATCATCATAATCGCTTGATTTTGCAATAGAGGAAAAGACGGTCATCTTTTTCACTCAGCCACTCACTCACTCACTCTCAGCAGAGGTTTAACCCACTCATCTACATCACTCCATTTAAGAAGAGATCAGAAACTATCAAGACTTAATGTCTCATTGTCATAGAAGAGTGTGTGGTTAAGTGGACGCACATTATCTGCTCGCTGATCACATTGCATTTCTTATTCAGGAGACCGACTTGAATCGCATTTATGTACTTTAACTTGGGCAGATTTGGTGCTACGTTGGAGGCGGAAGCAATGAGGAAGTGAGTAAATTATCATGGAAAGAAGACAGATAATATAAACACATAAACATATCGACTCGTATTTTCTAACTGTTACCCAACTTAAACCACTTACACACTTTGCACTTTTACTACTGCTCGGTATTAACACTTTGCTTGCTTCTTCAGTATCCAACACGTTGGACATATGCACACGTAGTAGTGTTGGGAGGAACCTATTTATTTATGCAATGCTGCTCCTCTTACTTGCTGCTAACATTCTGGGGTGGTCGATTTCCAGTTGTTGGACGGATTAGATATTATTAATAAAATTTCGATCCCACCTCCACGCTTTGCATAACATCGTTCTGAGGATATTAAATATTTATCAGCTTAATCAGTTCCTGAAACGAAATGCTTCCAAATGATGTGGAAGCACTTTAAATGACATCACTAAATTGCGGAAGGTGGCCGCAGTTTGAAAGAAACAAGTCAAAAAATTTCTATAACCTTGAGTATGCTCAGAGAGAGAGAGTCGCATAATGATGCTTATGGACAAGTATCGGTTCTGTTTCCCCCGTTAAATTTATTTGACAGTTTATTTGGTCATAAAACGGAGGAATTATGAGTCTCGCTTTCTATCATGTTTGATGAAGTTCCCGTTCTTGGAAAGGTTTTGTGCTCTACCCACCTGTTTACTCTTGCCGATGAAAAATCCACTCACGACTTTGGAATCTTTATGTTATTGACTGAACGAATTACGTCCACGACTTTTGGCCCAGACTTATGATAATTATGAAATAAACTGGAAAGTGAGTAACGTTCAGGTACGAATTGGTTGATCAATTTCATTCGGGTATCACGCACACAGGAGGTTTTTTAGCGTTCAGATAAAATGTACCACATTTCCGCAAAGAATGACGTATTTTTTCATAATAAGGAGTAAAATCAAGGAGTGAGCTGAGTCTGCAATTTGTTCGGTGCTCTACTGCAGGTGTGTAGGCTAAGAAAGCATACAAAAGTTTGTCGATGATCACGAGTGTGAATGTGCTTTGACAAGTTATCTACCCGAGTTTTCAATTAAAATACGAAAATATTTCAAAAGAAACTGGTTGTTGCAGTTATTTTCTTTCCCTGTGCATTAATGTCCCCTGCTCTCTCCGTAAACATCAACAACATGCAGGCAATTTATTAACTTATCAGATAGTCATAGTGGCAATAGTCCTTTCTTGCAGTTCATACTTTTACATGCAGAGCTTATCATGTGCACCACATAAAATATTGGCGAAAACAGAATATGTTATTTCCACACGAAGAGGAAAACATCTTGTTCCATTCATGGTTCAAACTGGTATATTCATATCACACGATGGCGAATGAATCCATGTGTGTATTGATTTGCATTGGCATTCCATTGGCATGCAGTCTTAAATATTTTATAGGAGCGATTACCACATTCTTTTTCCATTTGCCAATAATAAGTCTTCAAAGATACATGTTCGTGTGTTGATCCGTGTGGGTACGATCAATTTCATTAAATTTATGAACGGGCACGAACTATCCAATTAGCAAGTTAAATTTCTGGTGATTTCGTCCCTTGCAAAAACTACACCACTGAATCCGGAACTACACAGACCATGCAAAGTTTCAAGGTTTTTTTCCTGGATTTCTAATTCTGACTCTGGACTGAATCAACTTACAAATTTTTGCTAATGGTTTGCTCGTGTAGCATCTTCATGCTAGTTTTAATGAGATATGCAGTCTAACCATACGTACGTACTGACTGCCACCAGCCACCCAGTCGTCATCATTATAAACTGAATGAGGAAAACTGTCGCAAGAAGGCATAAATCATGTACAGAAGAAGATGTACATACATAGAATCTCACACAACTCGCTTATTATAAAGCAGAGCTGTTGTTCTGCTTTTGACACGATCTGAATTTGCACACATTGACAATAATAAAATCAAATCCTCTCATACATACTTTGCAACATAGGAGCAAACTGTTAATTCCGTGTTCATTTTACTCCTGTTCGTATGAATGAACTGCATTACGTACATGTGTACAGTCACTCCTTGTATTCCTTACAAACAAGCAAACTCTTCCTACTTTCAAACTACCGCAGAGTATTAAATACGTTCATAAGTTACACAGATGCTGCTTACAAGGTTTTGCAGAAAATGCACAAATTTTGCCAAATAAATTCCGTCAACAAAGGTCATGGGCGACCTTCGCATATGCATGCATGCGAACCAGGTAATCGTCTCATTTCACATTAATTTGCTGTATCAATAGCTATTTTCTTGGGATAGTGGTGCATGTATGCGTATGCATGCCGTGGTAGTACATACATGATTTTGGATATATGCATACATAAGTTTCTTTCATGCTGATTCTTCGTGTCATGATCCTAGGAATGAATTACAAAGTCTTTACTCGAGATTGGCTGAATATGTTGGGCGAGAAGAAGAGAATGCTAATAAGCCACGGATAGAATTAATTTAATCAGGAAATCATTTTCATCTCATCTCTGGCTGTGCAGAAGGAAGTGTAATTGAGGAACCGTAGATATGTAATTGCATCTTCTGTGTGCCGATAAATAAATGTATGATTCAAGTTTTGAACCAGAAGAGTGAGCGATGTTTTAATTTAAAATTATGATGAAATTATGCAGTACATCTTATTAAGTATGACTTTACGGAAATTGTTACAACTTGTTGGGGTGAAATGTTTGATAATTTATAAATGACTCATTTATTTACCGCAAACCGATGTGGTTTGGTTAGGTTTAACTGTTTTGGGTAAAACCTTTATGCCACTACTACATTCAACGCTAGGCCACAGGACTGAGACAAGCGGAACGCATTTCTTCATAAGAAATACATTGAAAATTAATCTCCAGTGGTGACTCCCCCGAGGAGTTCGAAATTCATATGGTCAACTAATTTCCCCCACAAAATGTGCAATTTGTAATGGAAACTTTGGTCTTAAATATCTCCTTATTAGAAGCAAAATTTTGTTTCCGAGTATGAAATTAGATTTCGAAAACTAGTTTTTGTTCCCTATAGCGGAGGACGTCGAAACACCGGAGATAAATTTGCAATACAATATTATTATGTGTTCCGCACCGCCGGTGCACTACTACACAATAAAATACCAACGACTAAAATATGTGCATACCATAATAATACCACGAAACTGTCCATTTAAATACATTTGAACTATATGTAAACAAAAAATACGTTTAACAGGAATACATTAATTGAACTGTAATGCAATCAAAGGAATGAGAAATGAATAAGTTGTTAAGCATTGTTTGAGTTTAAAGAGATTTGCATTGTGAGGTGGTAGGTCCAGCGATAAGTTGAGTTGTTAAAAAGTAGTCTTTGTACGAACAAATCTGATTGCGCCTGTATAATAGCGTGGGCAATAATCATAAATATTAATAAGTTGCAATTTTTTAAGATTTGGAAAATACAGATTTTCTGAGTGAACTTTGATTGTTATTAAATGTCATCTTTCTTTACATGTAGCGAATGAAAACTGGGAAATTTTAATTTAGAGGGGTTAAATCTTTAAAATTCTTATGTAATTCAGCTGTAGTAGAATTTCTGCTCTCGTACAAGGTTTGTCTTTTATTCGCTCCCACCAACCACGAATTAAACAGCTCTATCAGCTCATATAGGATGCAAAGCAACTTTTAATTGGTAGTAATACCTGATCATCGTCATTCATGTACATAAAGTTTTTGCGAACAAAAAGAAGTCCAGAGACTAGCCGTTCATCTACTCTTGTCCTGGCTCGGCCAGCCTCTATCCAACTAACCCAACCACCCAATAAATTCAGAGGTGATGATTGCACGTGTAACCTCAACGGACGGACAGTTGTTAAGAGTGGTAGTGGAATTACCCTCCCAATTTCAGAAAAAAATGCTATTTATTAGTTGCCCGTGATGATGAAACAATTCATACCTGAACTTTTGCCCAAATAGTAAATTATGGAGTTTACAAGTTTTCTTTCTACCACGATTACCCAACATAAGATGATCATCATATTCACACCCCAGAGTTTGCTAAGGCGTATGAGATCATCAACATAACATTGCAATTTATGAAATATGCCAGGAAAAAGGTGATGTGTCACGTGTATATTAATTCCGCTTTTTCCTTGATTTTTTTACAGGATGACTGCCTTTCTTCTTCCCTTGGCCGTGTTGTTGCCCGTGGTCTGACTCGTTCTTGACGGGGGACGAGATTGAATTGCTGTGTAGCTTCTTTGACTTGTCATTCGTTCCGAGGACAAAGCCCGACTGTTTCCTTGCTTCAAAGTCAGAGAGGAAGATCAAAGAGTGTCTCATCAAAAGTGGTAAGACGAGTTTTGGAATTACTTATTAGCTGCAGAACATGGCATATACAAATGCTATAACGTACACAGGAATGTATATATATAGCTATCTTCACCCTTTTGTAATGTAATCGGACGACAGCAAATGAGTCTCTTCTCCTTCCTCGGTGTATTTTCCAACCCCAAAATCGCATAGCCAAACGCCATTTACAGACACTAGGATATGGGTCAAATAGAGACAAAAATGATATCTCCTTCATCTTATTGGATGCTTTGGACACTTTGCAAAATCGTTTGATTTTGCTCCTTGCCAAATGAGGGTTTCTTACTTAAATTCGCTCAACCCGGTTCCACTACCAACCACCAACTCATTTAATTTCTGCACCAAACAGCCAATTTCCACGCGAGGTGAAGCCATGCCAAAAGGTGTCCTCCTGCTGTGGTCTTCTTCGCCCTCGTAACAACCTGCGTTCCTCCTTGCTACGTTTGCGTAGGTTGTTGCGAACCACGTATTTGTTGTCCGGTTTCTGACATATATCATACCTCGCCGCTCGCCGTCGTCCACGGACCGATATGGATGATTTATTTTCATGAGATTTGCTTCGCAGAAATTTACACATGAAGTGCATGAGTAATAATAAATTCCTCTAGTTTACCTGAACTTTGTGTGTGCGAGTGGTTGCCGAAGGCTTTTTACTTTGCATAATGCGCATTCTTTTACTTCAATTCTAATCATTCCTACCATTACTTTAAATTGTTGAACCGCAAATAATTTTCAAATTTAGACGTTAAAGAACATCGATTTTTTTCGATCCATAAATTGATAAGAATCCGAATATATTATGTTGGATTAAAACTGACAGTGGTTGTAAATTCAACGTAATCCACATGCTGTACATAGATATGCAAAAAAAGTTATTTTGCATAATGTATAATAGATAGGAGGTACAAGCAGTAGGTAGTTATTTAGATGCTTATATCCTAAGTCAGTCAATTACAATGGATAGTTTAGACGAGAGAGCAAAATACTAATGTGAAGACTTTTATGAAATATTATGATTACTCGTAATAACAATAATCTCGCCGCCGATATGTTTACTGTTTCGGTTCCAATTGCTATCAATCAATTTGAAATTCCGGATACAAGACCAAGAGGATTCCGTTGTTGGGAGTTGGTTGTTTTGCAAGTGAGAAAAAGATGCCATTTGATTAGAACGCCAAACCACCTTCCTACAAACATACGTCGAACATCCACCAAGTTCCTGATTAACCAGTCTTTTGATTTTCGCAATCCTAGTCGAAATTGCGAAAATGATATCTGCTGAAGCTGTGTACAAGTCCATGCGGGCTTGCAAGTCGTCGTATACATAAAACTCCACATTGATGCTTGATGCTTGAGACCCTCCCTAACTTACTAATTGATACTTTGGTGGTGAAGGATAAATTTGCAAATCTGTGAGCAGATGGAGAGGAAGATCTGCATGATGAGGAACCAACGTATGTTTTTCTGCAGGGTGGGGTGGAGGGTTATTAAGCTGATGCATGAGTTCAACTCACTCTCAAACGTAACATCGTCATATGCTTCTCACTAAAAAGTGAATAATAATTTCATATCAGACAACAGGTTGCTGGGAAATTGCGTTTTTCATTAATTCTGCGTTGCATTTTCCTTAAAACTTTCTATTCTCTCTCGAAAAACAACGAGCCCACTTATTTATTGTGGACACACATGTCCATATGAAAACGAATTTAAGGAAACGGAATCATAATGACGCTCTTTGTTGGAGAGGACCACCATTTCTTGCCAATGTGTGGGTTGTTTTGTTGATTCCTTTCTTCTTTGACTGCCTATTGGCCGGCCTTCTTATTATTTAATCAAATCAGTTAAAGTTAAAAATCGTGTAACAACTTTTCTGCTCTTTAACTTTACCTTATTCACGAAGAATGGATAAATAAGCTCGTCCGCCACGGCGACAACCAACCACTTGTTCCCCGTGTCGTCCTAACACGAAGATGGAACATGCCAGCGGTTTGTGGGTGCAGTCAGTTATTTCAGAAATACACTTTTGCCTCAGAGCAGGGAACAACAATGCATAAATTATTTTGCAATTTACTGCATCATTTGCACGTACATTAGGGTGACGTTGAAGGAGTATGTTGCGTAGTAGTAAAGATAATAATGATGATCATACGGGTCCACGTATGTAGTTATGCTTTACGGACTCGTATCCATCTCCGGTTTGTTGTATGGATTGTTTGTTCCTAATAAAGTCAAGCTCAACGAGAAAACTGTTCCTCTCTTCCTTGCCAAATATACGAGATGAGACGGAGTGTTTGCCTAGTACGTCTAATTTATGGTTGAGCAAAAAGGTGTTCCAAGTTGAGGCAGGCAGTTTACCTTTTCCTTCTTCTCAATTTGTGCAGTGCTGGCTTGTTGCAGAAGAAGAGTGAAATAAAATTGACGTTTTTCCTCAAGAAAGAAAGGCTTGGCTGTTTCAAAATGCAAATTTAATGTTGAATTTTGGACAGAAAGATTTATATCCACATCCACCACTGATCTCAGCCGCAGTATATGCACGAGCAGGGCGTGAATGAAATTTCGCTTTGCATAACCTTACCAAACTAGTCTCTGCTTGAGTCAAGTCTTAACCCTTCCTCTATTATCTAGTGACTTGGGGGTGTTTAGCTACATATTTTGTTGCTCATTCTCTCTTAAAATTATATCATCTCGAATTTCCTTTTTCGTGCTACGTGTCCATGTCCAAGCTGGTCGCACAAAGGAAGAGGATGGCCGATGGATAGGACGAGGAAAATTAAAAGTAACTGCTGCGCAAGGGTGAGTCAAAGTCATGAACGAGCCAGCAAACAAGATGCGATGATCTTGATCTCATATTTCGGATAAAACTTACTATCGCATCTTTCTCATCAGATTTTAAAGCATTGTTAAATAATTTTATTTTCAATTTAATTTCAAACGTAGAGTTTTAACTAGTTTTGTTTACTTGACAAATCTTTTAGCGTTTTCATCCTTGGGTATTTCAACCGGGTAGATAACTTCACAGTTTGCCTAAAAATAAGTATTTCCCGTTTTCCAGTTTAATATTTGAACGTTTTTTTTGTATAAAAACAATGATGGCGAGTTGAGAAATTCATGGCTTTTTTTATTCTGATGCCAGGCTGGCTGTGTGCATAATAAGTCGCTAGCTTCCTTCATCGGATGTTGGACTGTGTCACTTTCAATCCTCCTTTTCCTTGTTTTGAAATCCGTTGCCAACTCCGGAATTTTAAACAATGTAGACTCGAATTTTCTCTCGTACAGCAAAAGTCCTAATGGATTCAGGAAAGTATATTCGAATGGTAAACGTCCACATTGGATGTGCAGTACAGAAATAAATGTACACAGATTCAATATATCTAAAAGTTGTTTTTTCTTTAAAAAAAGACGCACCTTCTTTGACTAATGAAAGGTAACTAATTGCATAAGGCAGACCTTGTATAAGACCACACTCGCCACTTGTTATGGAAATATCAAAGGTGACATGATTAAAATTATAAGCTCACGTAATATAACACGATTACATCACACGGTAGCCATTGTCGTATTATACACTATTCCTACTTTAGAGAGACGGATTTTCAAAAATCCTTTTTATGTAAGTTGCTAATTTCTTTCTTTTGGGATGAATACTTATTTTGTCTCATCTTATGAATCATCCTTCATCCCCTGCAGAACACAAGCTATGTTTCTGCATACCCGGTATTGTATACTACTAAAAAACATATGCACATATTATGCCCCCCTCAATGTTGACAGGTTAATGGATACCACGGAATATACGATGTCAAACAACAATTAAAATGTCGTCCCACAATGAAACGACATTTTTCATATTCATATCCTCAGCTCACTTTCATTCCTTTTGTATTCGGTTCAGTAACAAATTGAGCGTCTTATGTTTTACGAAACACATGTGACAATCCACGGCTTAAGGGGAATTACATAGTTGTTAAAAGAAATCACATACATATGATTACTACGTACGTATAGGTCTCAATTTAGCCCCCATTAGGCGTAGCTCAACCCTTATTATAACGCATCAGTTTACCATCCCAGCAAACATTCACTCCCGTAAAAAAATAGTGTGTGAAAATAAGTATATAATGGATCAAGAAAAATAGTCGGACGGACGGAAGTGTTCCACGGAATGAGTGATTGTCAGCATTAAATGGAAAAGTTGGTGGGTTGACGGATTATGATGAATACTATTTCAGTTTTCAAATCAACTTTTCCTTCCTCAAGCAAATACTATTTTATTTTGGTCGAGATTTCTCAGTATATTTACAAGTGATCCTATTCTTACTAGATTTTCATAGCCAATTTAAAATGTCCCACTTTTTGACATTCAATCACAAATGAGTATTCAACTTTCAAGGTAACGTCGTCGTTCTGACACCACTTCCAAGAAATATTCACCGCGTGCGAATAACGTCTTTGCCACGATACTACTCGCGATACTGTGTGTGTATACGATACGATATTTGATTTTACTCCGGAAATCCGTTCTTGGGTGGAGTGGAACCGTGAACGAGCATGTTGTTAAAATGCACGCTGCTGCTAAAGTAGTTTCACGTCACCAATCCAACTCACTCTTGAGAAGAAGAAGAAGGAATTGTACAATTGGCTTCCGTGCAATTTGTTCATTATGATGGATGCATATATGGTTTTAGAATAATAGGAAATGTCATCTTTCTCAACGTAGACAACAATCACGCTACGCAACGCTACCTCATTTCCGAAGGAAATTAAAGAATTTTCAATGTTTACAAGTTGTACCAACCATGAGACCACGAATAGAAATGCACGAATGTATTCACTTTATTATGCAATAACTCTCAGAGAAATCACAACATCCCCGGATTTGTTGTACCACGTGCTAAGTACAAACAATAATTTATAACGGGGAGGGCAAAAAATTTATAAAATTAATTACAAAAATCTCTAATCCCAAACATCGATCCTTCTGGCAGCAGCCTGTTCTTCCACGACGATGCGACGCTGCAACATTATTTTCCTGCAAAAACTTGATCTTTCTTGGAATATTTATTGCCCTTTGGACCAGCCACTTCTTGCAAGGAAAGTCTCATTGTGGAGAAGGTGCCACGTAATAAATTTCCTTCTAATGCATGAAGTTTACGTCTTGACTTGTCAGTTATCCCAAGAATTTATAGGGTAATGAAGCATATGAATTATTCCGGTTATTATTGCGATATTCAGTGATGTCAGCTAAAATTCAGGAGAAGATCAATACGTATAAACAAGCCGCACGCGGGTGGGTTGTAGTATTAAGTGGGCTAATTAATTGCACAAATGCTGATTACTACATGTATGCACGCATTACTACATATTATTATTTATTATAATATAATTTGTTACTTATTATTACAAGATTCGACAAACAGCCTCAATTAGCTTGATAATAAGTTAAATTGTACGATAATTACACTATTTTTCATCAATTGTTCTACTTGGAGGTCATGGGAATTGTACTGCATGCACTGTGCTGCATTGTGTCGCCATACATGCAACGAGGTGTCCACAAGATCTATGTAATTGCACGAACGAATCCTTTGTTTCAGGCGCATTCATGAAAACTAGTGCAGCTCGATTCAATTGCAGCTTGCAAAGGATACAATAAGGAATTGCATCAATTCTTTGCAAATCCACGTCGTCGCCACCATTGGTGCACGCGGAAGGAAGGAATAATACAAAATATATGCTCCCAGACTTTTTTCTTGCGCATTTGCATGATAATTTGTGTGTTGGTCAACTCAATTTCTGTGAAAAACGAAGAATCTAATCCATTGAAACAATGGAGCTTATCAATGACAAATAATTTAAGCAGTCAGTCAGTAGACAAGTTTAAGTTAGGTTTGGTTACGTATTCCATTGAGTTAGAGAGCGATATCAGGAAGTGTGCCTGCGTAGCAACCACTTTAGACAATTACCTTAAATTGGCTTTGTCTTTTATTTTGGTTCAGCTGATTTGGTCCACTTGTTTTTGCACGACTGGCTTTTAATAGTTATAATATCCTCTGATTCTCAGTTCTATATTTATTTGAACTCCTCGAGACAAGTTTAAGTGTTTGCTTGTTTAAGCCCAGTTTTAGGCTCAGCAGCAGCAGTGCACTGCATTAGTCGATTTTATTATGCTAATTAAAGATGTAACATAATAACTGGCAGAAATAAACTTTGCTTTGCTTGGTTCATTATCCATCCATCCATCCCAGCCTAAAAAAGACTTGAGCCAAACAAGTCGGAGAATCCATACCAGGAAATAGTGAATTTAGTTTTGGGCAAGCTATGACATATCACAACATCCTTATACACACATTCTAAATATGCACTCGTTTCGTCTCATTGAGCTACACATTTGCACACATCGAACGAATAACGCGTGTATTTTTATCAACACGTTACATGTATTTCATATTATTATTACTACCAGAAAAGATGAACATTCATTTTACAACGACCTGTTGTGATGCATTATTAAATGCATATTTAAATTTTCTATTTAATGTTTATTAAATTTCGTACAACTTTTTGCATTTGTTTGATTTTTATTCTCTAGTAGAATGACGTATTGTAGGTATTTATAAAAAAATTGGTCATACTCCACTCCCACATTTTACATGTACTTGTTTAATTTTTATTAATAGACATTGGCCAAAGCGATACTTTATCTCAAACTGTCAAGTCGTCTCGATTCCACACACCTCCAAATCAACTGTCTTCCCATTGTCTTCTTACACACATAACCGCCAATCACGCTATACTGCATTCTGTTGTACCCCTATCGAACGTCCCTTCTATTCTGTCAATATAAATACCTCAAACTTACAAATTATCTCTTCTCATAATTGCAGGCAAACAAAATAATTGGGACAAAATTGTGTCTTCATATCCAGACAAAAGTAAGTAATCTTATTAGCACAACAAGTAATTTTTATTAAAAAATAGTTAAGGACCAAATAATGCACAAAGCGAGTCGTTAGAAATACGAACGATGCAATATCAGTGATTGCACAACAATCGAGCCGTATGCATAGTATCCGCCTTGCAATTTTAGTGCATAGCATTCATTAATTGATATATATGTACATACATGAAGCAGTAAATTCTTCCTGATAAAAGTGGGGAAGATATTTGCATGCAGATACATATTGCAACAATAAGAGACAGTCACTGCTAAATACTTTCATGGGTTGTGCAATGGTGTAGAGAGCACTATTAGAAAGGGACACACGACACAAAGCTCCATCACATATACCCACCAAACTCTAGCCATCGTCATCATCATCATCGTTAGAATTCTTAATTGAGAATTTAGTCAAGCAGCATAACAACCACAATCTCCCTTCTCATGTACAATTAGACGTCGCATTGTTATAGAATATGCATAGATATAGCTGCTGGCTAAATATAGAAGGAGGAGATAATTTTAAGAAATCCGCTTGTAAATGGCTCATACAATAATGCAATGCAAAGTATGTAACAACTTACTTTTGTCTCTCGAGACGCTAGATTATGTCATGACTGGAATTATAAAAAATATGCCAGATTTATACCATAAAGTTATTATTAATGACTCTTGAACAGCATGACTCGTTGAATCTATACAGTTTTACTTTTTGCACCCTGATTCCGTGAATTATTGCTATTATTACACCATCAAAAAGTTATGCTGTGAGAAAGATGACATTTAATTTTATTTATATCGCCGCCGAATTTTTGTTTTTGCAATGCCTGAAGGACAAACTAAAACAGATATATCATTATTTGCTATTATTATCTGTTGGGAAACGGAAAAGTCATTTATTCCAGACAAAAAAAAACAGGAGAAATATTTGACTTTGAAAATAATGATGTGAAAAACATATTTACAAATATTCGGTCCGTTTTGTGAAAAAATTGACAAAGAAATCTCATCGTGAAACACTTGTGATAACAAAATGCCTAAAATAATAAAAAGCATGAAATTAAAGTTCCTTGTTTGATCTGTGTGTAATAAGTTGACGGTCATGGCTACAGCTCAGACGTAGGAAAATCCTTCGTGAATTGCATCCATCTCATCCATTCCATCCTTCGCATTTTGCTCACATGTGCAAATTATTTGTTTGTGGTAGGCCGTGCTATAAAACTACTCTAGCTTAAGTACATAGGCACTAGGCATATAATACGTTAAGCAACTAATAAGCATGCATGGAATTCATCCACCACGACTTATGTACATACATACGTACACTTGCGTACACATACATTTTGCACAAAAGGAATTGCACTCGTACCACAATGTCTGATAGGCACAAAGAGGCAACAAAGGGCACTTAAGTCGCACACATTGATTGGCATTTAACTAACTATAGCAAGTACTTAGGTAGGATGTGGTGGTGGTGGAAAAACATAATACATATAAGTTGCACCTACACAGAAACTTGTTGCATTACTGCATACATGTAAAATGGGTACAAACACATAATAGGCTCATACATAGGTATATATCCATAATAATAACAACAATCCACTATAGCTTCAACGTCTCAGCCTTTTATTTGGCCCAATCACGCCGTCGTCCAACAGCCTGCAGTACCCAGGATGTATTTATTTATAAGGATGCAAACAATTAATCAGTTATAACGTTAACCTTGCTCAAAGTCAAGGAAATTTTTCTTACTTGTTGTGCATAAGTACGCCGTGCAAGTCTTGATTAAATTGCACACAGCACAAACAACGCCATTCATTATGTTCTCATCCCAATCCGTTTTAGATACTACTGCTCCTGCTGCCAATGTTACTGCAAATCCTGCTGCTGGGAAGTTTTTTTTAGGAAAATAAAGTAGTTAATACTTACTCACTACCTGCCAGACTTAGTTTCCAATTACTTGCGAATATGAAACCATGTCTGAATTTTCTTGGATTAATTGGCGTTATCTCATCGGCCGGTCGGCACAACTGTTAATGTCATTAAAGAAAACTCCCTTTATTTGCAGATGTAGGAAAATCCTTGAGAGAATTATGAATAGCTGAATAGACCTGGTGGTATGGATGGATGGTGTGTGGTTGGTGGTGCATGGTGGGGTAGGATTGCGAATAATACTGCAGGATGGAAATCGTTTAAGACGCTCAAGTGGTAAAAACGCTCTTTGCTGGATGGTGGAACTTTATTTTGCAGGATTTGTTTCCTAGTCCAACTTTATAATCAATTCTTTTGCATCATCACTCGCACCGTGGAGCATGGAGAGATCATCATGCAAATCAGAAGAAGGGGACGAATGAAGACTGGATGGAATAATTGTGCAGCATATACTCACCTAATTTATAGCGTTACGCCATAATCTGCATTTAGCTCACTTGTTGTATAGTTAGTTAGTTAGTTATTATTGTGTGAGTGGTCGCATCGTTTTTTTGTGATAGAACTTGGCTGTTATATTTCTCATATTGCATTATTCCTATTAGCGAATATGGAGACTTCTTCGGTAAGATTTTGCTGCGTGGTTGCCAAAAACGCATTAGTAACAATACCGCAGCCAATTACATTTCCTATTAATATTCGCGAATGGTAATAGCGTGATTAAATCTACATTCACAGTATGTAATAAAGTGAGACTGGCTCATGAACATGATGAGCAGTGAACATTTTGAGTATTGACTCGTCACACAAAGGGCTCTCTCTGTGGCATAGATGTTGAATATCTATTCATTTTTTTTATTTCTCATAAAACCGTTGTTGTTAAGTTTAACAATTGAGAGAGAAGAGTAGGTGAGTTGGACACATGCGAATTAATGAATAGTTTTAAATTGATAGCTGACACAGTCAGTGATGTGATGGAAGTTTTGCGTTTGATTTTGATTGCTGTTATGCTGCCTGGACATCCCAAGAACCAGAATCATCACCCTCATCGCGTATATATCTATATCTCAACCATAACTCCATTGTCTTCTTGTGAGAAAAAAAGGCTTTCAAAAGGAAACATAATATATTGTAGTCTCAACTGGAGGAGGATGGAGTCGTCCATCCAGAATTTGCACACACACACACGCTTATTAACACTCTCCTCTTTTTCGCCATTCTTTTCCTGTAAAGAAGTTGCCTCTGGCCACTCGGAAAACCTTGAGATTTGCAATTAAACGAATTAGGCATTGTGTGTTTTGTCATGTGTTCCATGTCCACCACCAACCAAACCAAGTACCATTTAATATTTTACCATCGTCGTCGTCATCCGGGAATTAAGCAAAACAGATTTATTTCCTTCTGTTAGTGCCACTTCGCCCAGGCACTTGTTGCATATATGTGCATATACTCGTACGTATAATCATACATATTTGTGTACATACGTATCTACATATGTACATATATTACATATTACACACACATGCCTTCTGGTGATGTGCGCCGCTAATAATAATGTCCCCTTAGCAAAACTCAATTGTGAGCACAGTTTATTTCTTGCTTGCTGTCTATATTTTATGCAATACTTAAGTTTTTTTGTTGGACAACTTTATAACTGGCTGGATGGCGATGAATATTCACGTCGTATCAATCACTGTCTTTTAGATATGCTAGTTGCATGTCCAGTCGTTTTTTGCCAATTCAATTACTTCACATTTCTTTGTGGATGGAGATAAAATTTAAAATGTCCAGTTAAACGTGAACGTAATTATCACCAGTAATAAACTTTTAGTTATAACATACCTGCGCATGTAAATATGTCCACATGTATAATATCCACTTCTTTACAATGGTATCGATTATGTACTTCTCGCAAGCGAAATTAATACGAGGCTGCAATTTTACCAATCAATCTCGACTAGATCATCTAATACTATTAGGGACAGTTATTTGTTGATAAATGTACATAGTCCGATTGGACTGCCTGCATAATTTGGACTTTGGCTTGATATTGAGACATAAACTCATTCATAGTGGAGAGCAAAGACCAAATCGAGAGGAAATAGCTGCAAGATTTTTCCGGTATGTAAATAAATTGGAGGTTCTAAGGTCCATCAATTTGCAATAAATATAGTAAATTTATACTTGATGACAATCCTATTACATCCACGGCGCATGGATAATAAATGAATATATTGATTAAATATGTACCACAACCACTTAACCATACACGTTATCAGAGTTAATTTCCCCTTTAAAAAAGTAATCATTTGGAATAAAATATCGTACGAGTCCTACAAATGAGTGGAAATGACCGGCGGTTTTTGGGTTTATCATCATGAATCGTATCATTTTTATTTATTCATCATTAATTCAACAACTTCTTGGTCTTGGTCTTCTTTCCCTTCTTCTTGTGATAGGTTCAAGGTTGAGGATTTGTACGGACTGAAGGCTGAATGCAAATTATGTTTTCATCCTCATCCAGACCACATATCATCAGCCAATACAGATTAAATCCAGCCATTATTTACCTTCCATGCGGAATGGGTGCTGCGTTGCATGCGAGTGTGTGCAAAATACTATATCCATGTTCCTTCTAAACTCTATCCTTTGGTAGATTTTAGCCAACAGCAGACAATATCTCACTCCTGTTAGTACAGATACAGAGCTCTATATACATAACCCCTCATTGTTAAAGTAACGACCAAAGTGAAAATCCAGGACAATTGACTTCATAACAATACACATATCTTGCACCTGAGACTAGTAATTTGGTCGGAAGATTTTGGGAGACGAACCAAGTTTTTTTAGAGTGATAATTAGTTGACTTGTTTTGTGTTATATACAATTATGTGGCTTTATCCAATCCATAAACGTGCTATACTGAACAGAGTAGTCGACATTATCATCATTATCCGTACAAAGGTGAGACTAATCTAATAATTTTATTTTGCATCATTACGTATGCACAATATGAGATTTGTTATGTTGCAAATTTCGCAACGTACCACGTGAGACAAACGGTTTGACTTAAGTGCATACGACCTGCTTAAACTCTTTGGTAGAATTTCTACTACGAGGACATTTTGCACAATTCAGATAAATGTGATTCTGCTGTAAATTTAACCACGTCCTCTTTGGAAATTACGTACAAACTCATGAATATTATTCTCCGTCGTCGTCGTTGTTCCTTATGTGCCATCATTTGCACGGTCGGAAGAGACAGAACAGTTTTAATGTCGCCATTTACATTAAACTGATTGCTTCTTGTGATTTCCGTAACTTCCTTTATGAACCTTATTATGTAAAGTGTGCATGTATTCAAGTATATGAATGTAGCCAACAAGAAGTCCATATCATAATCCTACTTCCGGGTCCCGGGAGCAAATGGAGAGTGTTGTTTACTTAATTCCGTCGACCCCTCCTGAAAATTCCACACATGCACTTGGGCACAACTGCTAATGAAATCTTAAACTGTTGTCGTTTAATTATTCAACGAGGCTGCGACGACGGAACTCGAGTGCTTTGGAAAAAATAATTTCACTATTCTATGAATGACTGGTATGTCTTTCGGTGTATGCCTCGGAATTCAGGCCCAATAACAGACATTCGTAGCATTCTCCTTGCAGGTATCTTCACGAGAGAGAATAGCTTCTCAAGTTGACATTGTAATTGACACTAAGCGCAAAGGAACAAGTACATAACTATTATTAGAAGCTGAATAATCGTCACGTGGCCCTCATTCAACCCTGATGAGAAGGAATGCAAAGTTTAGACGGGGATTTATTTACTTACGCAACAACTCTGCAAATCTTGACGAAGAACAGTGCTGAACATTTTTGTTGTTTAAGAGTTTAATTTGCCAATTTTTACAACACTGACTAAAAATGTCACCAGAATTAGAGCACCAAGATTTAAACGGAATTCCGTTTGTACAATGATCACTACCCACAATTTTTACAAAGAAATCATGCGTTCCTTTATCATCATCGTTAATTATTATGGTAGTTATTTTAAGAAATATGTATGTAGGAACCCACGCGTGCAAATTTGCGTCAACACACAAAATAGAATAGTCATAATATGTCATGTCCTATAAAATCGTATGCAAAACTGCTATCGTAAAGTTGTAGCAAATGTTGAAGGTTGACAGATTGCAGTCAATCTAATAAAAGCGAGTGGAATGGCGAGTCAAACGTCATTCAGAAGCACGTACATATGTATTTTAGCATGTGCTCCTTAATATATTTAGAGTATGCAGTTTATATGTACTGCTCTAGGGTCATTCTCGTTATAAGTATCTTATCAATATGCATTTAAGCATATAATTCGAGTGGCTTGTCACATTTATTCCAAGACTTAATGCATAATAGATTTCTAGATTTGCCATAATTTTAGCTTTTAACTTTTCCACTGCAAAAAAAGCACACAACAAACTTTACACCATTTAGTCACGGACTTTTCCTTCATCATCCTCATATTTATGTCCAGACTTAAAATGCGCAATTTTAAGATTGAGAATTAAAGCTGACGCTGAACGTGTTGCAACGCTTCTCCGAAATTTCGACTTGTCACTCGCAATAATTGCGTTGCAGTGTAAAGTGTGAAGCTCAAATGTCATCCTGCTCATGGTGATATGGCTCCGTTTCGTGGTTTGGGTTTGCCGTTTTTCATTTCGTTATGATGATAATACCCACGTAGCCACATACCTTCTGGTAACTTGAGAACTTTGCATAAGACCGTGAGAGCAAGTTTTGTGTACTGTATTTAGTTGTTTTGATTTAGCGTTTGCATTCATTACCCACGCTCTGTTCCCATATGCACTTAATTTCCCAGCGGTTTGAAAAGAGATAATTTTATGAAATAACAAATTGTCAAATCCTTGTAAACACGCTCTCTTGAATGGATTGAGGAACCCTACGAGCTGTCTGTTGTGCTGGATCTCTTCCAAAAACTGGGAATCTTGTTGTGTAAATAATAATTACATTTCTTTGTTACGAGGAGTTGTTGTACACACCCATAATTGCATCGGGTACATATTGCAGCTAATAGATAACAGTAATTTACATTTATATAAGACAAGTTTTAAGTAAAACTTGCATCATCGATTGTTGTATTGGTGCAGCAGTAAACGGCATTTGTTACTCATTTGTGCCCGCAATTTGTTGCCGAAGATAATTTCACATTCATTCCCAGCCAACGTTTTAAAAAAGTTAACATACAATGTGTAAGGTACCACGGGCTCATTCATTCACTAGATTCTGCAGGAGAGGGATAGATAATAAAAAGCCTGCATTTTTTTAGTATTAGTCTTTAATTTAGCTGGTTTCGAATCAAATGACTTATTAACCAATCAGGATCGACCGAAGTTGCACCGAAGAAAGAAATCTACGTACTCGACCTGGTTGATGCTGCAGAAGGAGGAGGAAGAAAAAGAAGAATGCAGCAGACAACGGGAGTACATGAGGAGATCAAGTAAAATATGATCGTGGGGTGTTGAGGTAATAAAAAGCGTAAAAACTGGTGATTTGGGCGAGATATTCTGCATCCGAATTGTTCAAGCTGCCTGACTCTGGTTAGTTAGTTAGCTAGGTCAGGCCAAAAGGCAA